TTATATATTTCGTCGTTATTTTTCGTTTTTCTGTAATAAAAATTCCTATTCATTGGTTGTGCAAAAAAACAAATATCTATCTATATGTATATATATATATATATATATATATATAAATGTACTTTTTAATTTATTTATTATATTTTAGTATTTAAGTAATAGTTTAATATTAATATACCATAAAAATCATTTTAAAATTATTATTTAAAGTACATTTTGTTTATTACAAAACTAAATTAAACAATTCATTAAACACTGTTTTTAATAAGTAATTTTAATTAATAAATAGATGTTTATAAAATATACGAGTATGAAGTTTTTTATAAAATATAAAATATAAATAACTAAAATGTATATTAAAGTAATTAGAAAACAAATTATATAAACTAAATAACTAATTTCCTGCTATGCCTGCAAATATAATCATAAATTATAAAATCACATAGACTATATTGAAATACTACGCAGTCTTAGTATAATGTTTTTAATGTTATTTTAATGAAATATTTGCGTAAATTATGATTCATATAAGCCATTACAATCATCTTCAGAATCTGACTATTTGAAAGTTTGATTTCGCAGCCTACTAACACATGACAATTTTCCATTAAATACTTGTGCAACGCGTATATTTCTACTGAACACGTCTGATATTTACATACTCGAGTGCTTAAGATTTACATAATAAATTTAAATCTATAAACAAGTAGTATGTAAACAATAATATAATAATAGGAATACATATATTGACAATGAACATTAATAAATATATTTATAAAATCTTTTTTTTTAATATATTAAGGTGAAAAATTGTACCTACGCTCCTAAAAGACACGTAAACATTCTAATTCATTATGAAATATTTATTTAATTTTCTCTTGAAAAAACTTGTAATTATCATTTGCATTTCAAAGATAAATTAGAATATTTCAAGATGAGATTGAAAATTGACCAATAATATATTATGTTTCTTTTATTTATATAATTACGTAAAGATTAAGGAGAAAAAAAAACTTGAAAAGAAGCGATTAGACTTGTAAGATGAATATTCAACGATTGCTTATAATATTACGTATTCAATTAAATTTTCTTACATTCGAGATTTTTATTTCAAGCCTTCCATCTCCATTATTTGAAATAATAAAATTTTTCATTTTTGGATTTTTATGCTCTACTTTATTTACTATTTCATTAAATACTTATACTGATTCAATAAATTGTAATAAACAAGAGTTTCTAAAGAGAAATATTACATTACCGTAACAGTATAATAAATGTAGCTAATAAAATGTATTGATTAAAATACTTAATAATAATCGTATTTATTAAATAATTATTATAGTATAAGCTATATTAGTGATATAATTGAATTTCCATAAACATTTGCCATATGACGTGTCAAATGACGTGCGAAAATAAAAAATATCATTTTTATTACGTATAATTAATTATGTGTAATAAATCTAAATTGATAGTAAAATAAAAATTGAAACAATAAAAAAGAATAGAATTTGATTGTTTCTAAATTAACTAACATTTTAATTTTATTCCAATCATTGGCATTTCGTTGGATAGTGCAGGGAAAAAAACGGGAAAATTAAAACTTATACGCTCGGTCACAGATTAACAAATCCAATTTAAATGATTGTCAATAAGACCAAGTTACGTACATATAATTAATTAACCAGAAAGATTGATTATAAAACTTAATTCTTCAAATACAAACCAAATAATTAATATATACAAATGGTATCTTATTGAAATTAACACATATTTAATAGATAAAAAAAATTCTAAAATGTGCCAAAGATATTAAATGTAAATTATTTGATGTAATTTTTGCAAATGTTTCGAAATGTCATTAAACATTTCGAAATATCTAGTGCCACTACACATTCCATTACAGTTAACAGATATAATAAAAGTAATTGCATAAACTACATTGACTTTTCAATTTACGCTATTTTCAAATTTCTCCGTCAAAATGTACAATAATGAGAAATTTTTAATGCTCAGATAAGAAAGATGAGTTCATCAAATAAATTATTTTCCTCGGTCGTAAAAATTACAATTAAAGTAAAGCGCTCAACAAAGAACGCAAATAATTGCGCGACAGTCCGCAAACAGCATATACGCAATGTACTCGCTTATTTACAAGATATCGCATAAACGAATATAAAGAAAACAAAAAATAAATGAATAAAATAAAATAATTGTGGGGGGGGGGGGGGAGATGAGAAAAATGAAAAACAAAACAAAACAAAAAATCAGATAACCGATATGGAACAGCACTCCCTCATCCTCGAGCCAAAAGACAAGCAGATCATCCGCGGGAACGCATGAAAATGCCCTCCGGCCATCGGCTGTCGGCTGTGTCGACGTAACGCGCACTGCATCGTCGTAATTGGCATTGGCCACTGACCGCTGGCACTCTGGAAAAGTGCAATTAATAGCACGTAGAACGCATGATTGCGGTGAATTCTAGTAAGCCCCCGGGGCCCTCCCGTAAATACAAACAAATACTGCGCGAGCGCGCAGTATCGCGTGAGTTTCGCCGATTCCGCCGAGAAGGCCAAACAACTCTATCTCACGTCTTTCGCGCTTTCCACGGGCCTATGCCCGTGCAACGAGAAAGGGAGAGGAGCCTCACCCTTGGCCCCTCCCTCGATTAGTCCATTCGAGCCGTGGCTGCATTCATTGGTCTTTCCGTTTAACCTAATGACAAGATGCATTCGCTGATTGTGCAATGCGAGCATTGTGCATAGAGCGGCAAGAATTTCCAATTTATCGAGTCGGCTTTATTGCAGGCGGCTTTGGCGCCGGGGAAAAATTGCCGAACGCGCAGATGTAAACATGTCGTTATTGTTAAAATCGGAAAATCGACGTACCGGTCATTAAATGGCACGCAATACTCCTGCTTATTTGGATTGCATCGTTACATCGCTGTTGCGATCGAATTATCCGCGTTCACATTCAGATGCAAAGCATTGTGCATCCATCATACGTATGTAAATAGTTTTTATGGGAGGATTGAAATGTCATTGAATCGCTTCTTAATTGTGTTATGATGTAGAATGTGCAAAAGTTAATATCAAGATAGCCGATTTACCGATTGATTGTTATGATTATTTTTTTCGTTTTCCCTTTGGGACGAAAGCTTCGATTGGACGAGCGATTTAAAATATTTAACTTGTACTGTACATCAAAGAGATTATTAGATGCGTTCTTATATTTGCTATTCGTATCTCTGTTGAATGTATTTGTTGACGTTGACACTATTTATAGAGAGGAGTCGTTTTATTCAGCTTTATGCACATACTTGTTGCAATCTTCCTTCATCGAAATCATTTAAATGATCAAAAGGTTATAATAATTGCATTTAACATAATTTCATATAGAATGTGACAAATGTATATTATGTTTGGATTGTAGTTTTTTTCTGCTCCCCCCTCCCTCCCGGCCCATAAATCCTATAATTAAAAATCATCATTATTTCGTAAAAGAAAGTATAAATAATAAATTATTAATTGTGTATAATAATCATAAACTTCATCTTATAATTTGCATATTTTAATAAAAAAAGAGAGAGAGAGAGAGAGAGAGAGAAAGAGAGAGAGAGAGAGAATAAATGTTTCATTTTAGAAATTTTACGTTAAAAGTCCTTAACTCCTCCTTTTAATGATATGACTTATACTCATTTATGGGATGTCTAACTCCACTTTAAATTTTAAAATAATTTCTTCAATTCATACGTATCTCGTTTATATGCGTAAGCTCACGAATAACCCTTATTTCGTGCAATTATCTTTGCAAATATTTCATTATAATGAAATACATTACCTTTGAGAATATCTGATACAAGGAGCTAATCAAACATTAATACTAAAAAATTGCACTTCTAAAGCTTTTTATTAAATGTGGTTTTGCAATTTGATTATGAAACTTGTGTGACGAAATTTATCCAAGTGTAATTGTATTACAAATGCAAAAAAAAAATTGCATCGTAAAATTTATAGACATAATTTTAATGCAGAGCTTCTGTGCGATTAAAATTTAAAAATTTTTTAAATTAAATTTTTCAACAAACTATATACCGTGGCAGGTAAAACGACTCTACTTTTAATATCAAATTATTAAAATTTTGAAACGCAAAATTCATCATTATTTAATGTTGCATGAAGTATCTTAAATATCCGACATAAATTGTAACAAAATTTATGTCCACTGGAAGTCTACACAAGTGTCAATTCGAATTTACTAATAAATAATTATGCGCAATATTGCAACTTATGGCCTTATTTTAAAATCAATATATTTCATAAATATAAGAATTATTATAGGCTGCAACGATTATAAATATAAAATTATATAAAACATATTGATAACATATTTTAAAAATATATTTATCTTTCAATAAGAATTAATTAATTAAAAATAAGTTTAATTACTTTTTCCAATAGTATTTAATTATTATATTCTTTTATTGTCTGTTTGCTTGAACATTTTTCAATCGAAAATTATTGGATTGCGTAGCAAAATTAAATGACAGCAATTGATTTTTATATATTTATAAAGCTCAAAGCACCGAATTAAGTTTAAAAAATCTAAATATCTGAAAACAACATTTGTTCAACAAACAAAAAAAAAAAAAAAAAAAAAAAAAAAAAAAAAAATACAATCGATCGACGAAAACATGAATGGAAACGTTTTAATACATTTTGACAGACAATTTTCACGTGCAAATTAACTTACTCTAACAATTTCTCTTTTATACCATAAAAAATTAATTTTCCTTATAAAGTGATATTAGTTGAAAAGTAATAATATCGATAAGAATGAAATCTCATTTAATATTGATATTATTATTATTAGAATTGCAACGATACTCGGCGCAATCACAATTACATCTTTAATAAAGTTTTAAATAATATTCGAAGCATCAAAAACACAAAAAGCAGTATTTCTCTCGCAATATTAACAAAGTAATGTTGTTATTCCAGGCATTTCGGAGGTTACGGCGATGGTAAACACAAAGTACGCCGACGCTAACGAGGATCATCCAGATATTCAAATGATCTTTGGCGGTTACTTGGCCGATTGCTCAGAAACTGGTATGGTTGGAGAGAAAAAGGGTTCCAATCGAGTGATTCTCATTATACCCACTCTTCTCCATCCAAAGAGTCGTGGATACGTACGACTTAGGAATAACGATCCACTATCAAAACCCATTATTTGCGCCAAGTATTTGACTCATCCGGACGACGTCGGCGCACTCATCGAAGGCATCAAATTCAGCATCGCTTTGACGGAAACCGAAGCTCTCAAGAAGTACGCCACTCTTATCTTCCTTTTACCCTTTTTTCATTTTATATCCTCTGCATTCATCACATTAACTAGTAATATCAGAAATATACGCTCTTAAACATTGATGGATTTATTAAAATTATGAAAGCTTAAAATCACTATATGCTGCATCTATTCAGCGCCGTTCATTTTACGTCTCTGTCATAAATAAAAGTATATTGTGCTAATGACTTGATTTGCTACAAAAACAAACTCAATATATAAGTCGCCAGTATATTACACGGACAACTTAAGAGTTAAATAATTATGTATTTAAAATTTGAAGGTAAACGTATTGATGACCTGCACGTATTTGGATCTCATATCTTGTATTTTGTGAAAAATTATGCGAACGTTGAATTTATCCACGTTGAGATAGAGCATTTGCACTATCCATGCATGCGGAATTGACTTCAATAAGCATTTCGAAGGCATGAGAAAATTATGTTCTATTTATTCGGTAATATAAATCTCTAATCTTAAATGCGATCGTTAATGTCTGATAAAGAGGTAATAAAAGCGTTTTGCCATTATCAAAACCTCGAATTAATATAAGAATGGAAGTACATTTAACAATGAATTGCCGTTGCTCGTGTAAATGCACGTGAAAGACTCGAAGCATAAAAGTGAACGATTAAAACGATATTCGCTTATATAAAAAATAAGCGTTGATTCAAAATTTAGATTAACATAATGCATAAAGTAAATAAATTGAGGAATTGCCACTGGCTAAATGAACAAAAAACTTGGCAAAACTTGTCGAGGACCTGTACAGGTCGCGCAACAGATCGTTATATCTTGCCCGTAAGATATTTACGGGCCAGAGGACGACTAGTAATCTCGCACTGGCTTATCCTAAAATGTCAATCCGAAAATGATGAAATTAGGTTGTTATCAACGGCATCATTAGATTGTATTCGCCTATTCTCCACAGGTACGGATTCGCCCTGAACCGTATGCCGGTGAAGGGCTGCGAGCACCTGAAATTCGGCTGTGACGCTTACTGGGAGTGCGCGATTAAGCACGACACAGCTGCCGAGAATCACCAGGCGGGTTCCTGCATGATGGGGGCGGCAAACGATCGTTTCGCGGTCGTTGACAACCAGTTGCGCGTCCATGGCATCCAAGGGGTGCGAGTCGCGGACACGAGCATCATGCCGCGGGTCATATCCGGCAACACGAACGCACCAGCCATAATGATTGGGGAGCGCGCAGCCGACTTCGCCAAGAGGGCGTGGATCGGATGATGATCGATCCGCCCGGAAATTAGCTAGTAATCGGCGCGCGGACGCTGTCTGCGGATGTGTACCTCGCCTCGACGACTTTGCCCGACGCCTCGTTGAGATCTCCAATATATATATATACATAAAACTATTTCTTGATTGTTCTCTCTCTCTCTCTCTCTCTCTCTCTCTCTCTCTCTCTATTTACCTATCTACCTATCTATCTATCTATCTATATATCTTAGATCCTGGCCTCTTGTTCATTTTATATACGAGAAACGAGACGCAACTAACATCAACCTTAACTCCCCATTAGTTCTGAACTTCTCTCAATGTCTCGTGTTTCGATACTCCTACTCCCTCCTTCTCTCCGTCACTCCCTTCATCACTAATACCTTGATATTGCCAATTACCTTGAACGTCTCAGAGATTTTCATATAAAATAAAAATCAAAAAGTGACTTTAACGAAACTGTCAATTAAAATTGCATGAAAATTAAAAATGAAATATTTATAATTTTAATTATTGGAGAAATGTGCCTTAACATAGTGATTTTTCAATCATTACAAATCATTATACAACTTGCGTAAGATTTTATAAATTCGAAATTGTTTTTCAATAGTGGTGACTGTAAATTCATAATTGAATAATAATTTGAAATCAATTTTAAACTAAACTTCGTCCGTAAAACTAAATATTGAACCTAATAATCAAATTAATATTGTTATTTTAGTAGATGTTAGTAAATTGTTATTTTTAAAATAACACTGCATAATATTATAATATTTTTTTGAATTGATGAAATAGCCATTTTTAAATGATTTTTTATTGCATTGAGAAATAGCAATTAAATAAAATTTGTTCGTGATAAAAAGTTTAATAATATTGAATAATTTTGCAAAATGTTTATATATCATTTCTATTAAATTCATGCAGATATTTTATAAAATAACAATACCAACAATAATATTAATAACAATGATGGTGGCGACAGTGATGATTATAATAATAATAGGTAGAAGAAGCAGAACAAAATCAGTAATAGAAATAATTATAATATAAAAATAATAAGAAAATTAATAGACATTTTTCGTTAAAAATATGATAAAAAATTAAAGAATTTTGCGTTTATACGATTGGTAATTATTATTTTTGAAAATTTTCAATAAATATATTTTAAATTCACAAATTACTATTATAATGTAGAAAAAATATTATCGTCTCTATTTTCAAAACTTACCTTTCATTTTATAGCATAATTATTATTATTATATTTATAATTATGCATTCGCATTTTAATAGAAAATAAAATATAGTTTTAAAATTTAATGATACAACATATTTGCATTCATTTTAAACTATCGTAGTGTCAACGTTAAACTTTACATAATTTTTGTTTTAAACACATATTCACATTACATAATTTAACAAAGCAATAAAAAAATCTACAGTTGATCTATCTATTACATTTTCCTTTTCTGAAATACTTGAATGAAGAGTTCAGAATTGAATAAAATTGCTTATATCTCTTTCCTACTTTAATATAACAGTGCCTTTACGAACGGAATGAAACTCTATGTGAGATTCAATGCTCAGTAATATACTTTTAGTGACTCGATTATATTTGTAAATTATATATATATATATATATATATCTATATATATATATATCAACATACATGAGTATATATAAATAAGATTTTTAAAATTATTTGTAATACTTAGTATTATATTAATTAATACTTGATAATTGGCTCTATAAATTTTTTATCATACTATTACATATAATAATTATATTACATTATATTAGTGTAGAAGTTTTCTAATACGTGTACTATTATAATTAGTTTCTCTCGTAGAAATATTTAAATATATATATATATATATATATATATAATATAATCAATAGTATGCACCAATTTCTCAGAACAGGCCTAGTTTGAATATTGAGAATAATTGTCTTTGAAGATAAGTACGCTTTGGTATTATTACAATAAACTTTATACGTATAATTTATTACAATATTATATTTACAATTAGTATTATTTAGTTGTGCTTAGTTGTAGAATGTAAAAATATTGGCTAAATAAAATATTAAAATACCTTGTTGCTTTATTTTCTTTAAAAATTATAAATTATAAACATATACATAATAATTAAGTAATCGTATATTTTAACAAATAAGACTAATATACCATGCGTAATGATAATGAATTAAATACTGTTGCTTATTTTATGGATTGTAAGTATAAAATTAATAACATATATATAGAATGTAGTAATGAATTAATTACAATACATCAGCTTAGTACATAAGAAAGTTACAAAAGCAATATCTTATTAGATAAAGGTATATATGCACACAAACACAAATAACAACAAATATTAATTAAAGACTAAGCTATTTTTTGCTGATACAATTGCATTTAAATATTTGAATTGAAAATGTTTACATAAAGAAAAGGCAAAAAAAACGAAATAAAAATTTGTGCTTTAAAATTTTACTTTGACGATGCATTAATTTAATTGCAGTGATATTCTATTTCGATATTAAAAAAAAACTTGCTTTTTTTTACGTTTTTCTAATACAAATTGTAAATATGAATTGAAAGTAATATTTTTATTAAGCGCATTTGTACATCCTTTGAATTTTTTGAATGTCTCTGGCACTAAAGCCTTCTCTTTGACCAATTTGTCCAGCTCTCTTATCCTGCAAAACATTAAAATTCAGATTAAACAATTTGTCAATATTTCATTTGAAATTACTCGATATAATTATTTCTATTTGACGCGTAAAATCGTTACGGTTTAAACAAGAAAAGAGTAATAATAATAACATTTTATTCTATTATAAATTTATCTTGTAAAATAAAATAATCTACTTATGTTCGTCTCTATTATCGATTCAACGATGACAGGAGATCTGGAATTAACGGTTAAAAAAAAGTTCAAAACGGACAATTTTAAATAAAGTGCAAATATGCTTGTGATTGATGAAGTGAGGCAAATAAAAGTCGAAATAAAAAGATGAGATAAGACGGCAAAACCGTCAAATATAAAGTAGCCGCCTACAATGAAAATGAACAGGCGGTCGTAAGACAAAAGAAGTAAAAAAATAAAAAATAAAAAAGATTAAAAAAAAAACTTACCCACAGCCGTGAAACGCAATTCAAACTTAAATACCGTTAATTTGCCCCAATACCCCCGATTCTATGCCCTTGGCCATCCCATCGCAGCGAATAAAGTAACGAGTCGCGATAAAGTAACGAGTCGCCCGGAATGCCGGTGGCTGCGCGATTCCTCCAGCCGATAAATGAACGGGAGCTCGGCGATTTGGCAAAAGCTCCTGAAAATGCACTCACCCTGGGGATAATCGTGGGCTGTCCGTTGCGGGAGAAGGCGCCGACCGAGTAGTGCATGACGCTGCCGTAGTCGTAGATGACACCAAAGGCTTCGGTCGTGTCTCTCTCCGACTTGGCGAAATTGACCTCGCGACCTTCCACGATCAACAGGATAACGTCAAAGCTTTCATTGTGAGAACTGAGATAATAGCGCTCGTGCCTCTTTCAAAATACTTTTCTCGCCGCCTATGAGATTCGCTATTCAATAGAGCTTGAGTAATGAGCAAGTCTATGCTTTGAGATTGTATTGATAAGCCGTTCGTGTGGGAAGGAAAGTAAACCGTTTAATCGGTCATTTAACGTGATCGCTTAGTCGATCGATCAATGTTGAAGAGGAGATACTAATAAGTAGGCTCCTTACATAATGTATTATTACCTCTCTAATCTTATGAATTTCTGTATCAATTTTTGTTTCAATTTAATGCATTGGACGATTATACGTTTGTTTTACAACATAAATAATTTTATATATTGATATTGATATGTAATTAAGTACACGCTTATCTAGGGTAAATATTAAATTAAATAATACAGTTTAACTTTGACAGGATTAATTTTTTACCTAAAATTTGCTAACATTTTAAAATATTCGATTAAATATTAATGTATGAATTGTCAAAAACTAACATAACAAAATTAATAAATTTCATTTCATATTTGTTATAAATGAATGGCGAGAATAAATCCTTTACATATCGGTACCTTTTTTCTTCTCTATGCGTTATAAAAACACTTGACATTATAATAAATAAAAGCTTCAAACTATAGAATCTAAAGTAAATTGTGTTCTTTTAGCAATAATAGATGCTTAAAAATACCAACTTCTTTAAATAGATAAATTGGCGCACACATAAGCGTATATTAAATATCTTTTGTAAACCATTTTTCTTCTGTTTCTCAAAATGAAATAATATCAAGCAAAAAATTTACATAAAATGCATATTTTATTGCACAAATTCCGTATCTACTAATTATCAAAGCTCGTTTAATTATTCAATATAAAATTATATATCAATAAAAATAATTTAATGAAAATTGAAAAATTTTAAATATCACTTTAAAAAAAAAGTAGACATGTTTTTGAATATGCGTATGATAAATTAAGAAATTAAGAATATATTGACGTTTCGACGAATATATGGCAATTATTATTTTTATAAAGTTATGATCATATGATGTAGTAATTTTATTGTCTGAAAACTATTATCATATGTTGAATATTTATTAACTACATAATTTATACATGTTTAACATTAAAAATTTCAATGAAGATATGAAAAAAGACTTAAAAAACATAGATATTTTAATTTTACTATTGATTATAAAATAAAATTAGTTAAGAAAATTTAGTTAATATTTTTCAAATTCAAGATAAGCTAACAATGATAAATTTAACATTTAACGATTCGAAAGAATATATTGATCATTATTATTATAATAGAGTAACATATAAAAGAAGGACGATTCATGTGTAAAATCATTCGACTATAATACTTCAACTTATATCTGATATATCTACTTTGGACTTTCCCAATACTTGGTAACTGTGGTAAGACAAATCATAGGTAAATCGGTATTATTACGTCCATAGAAATGAATTTAATTTAAAAATTTAATTAATGTCTATAATGTTGTTCATATCGTATACTAATTTACTACCTATTTACTCTTTTATTTATTTCCATAATTCTATATGTATATATATATATATATTTATTCATATATTGAAATACTATTATTATCTCAGCAATATTCTTGTATTCTTAGTAATAATTAGCATTATTTTGATATTGATTGAGAAAAATATATTCAGGACATATATTTTATGCATCAAAGATTGATGTATTTCATGTACATATAGACACCGACAAGACAAATGGATGGAACTTTATAAAGAAGACCATCCATTGAATGAAAAATAACAAATATTGATTATCTGACTAGTATCAATAAAGTAGTCCGCATATTTTTTATGAATAATGTTTTGTAACATTGGAAAATGTAATATCTGCTATGAAGCATTTGTAGCTTCAAATTTTGAATGATATTCACACGATTGTAGGCATTCGTTTGAATATTTAAGTTAATCAACTAAAAATTTACTACCATAAATATTAATGCAATCAAAGGAGTTAATTTTATCCCGAAATAAATGAAAATCCGTGAGTTAATCGATACATACATTTTTATAAATGGATTTCGTTCACAAAATTGAAAACGAAACTCTATTACTGTTTTAAAATAAAAACTATGGATTATAATCTTCGATGCAAAAAAAAATTTGAAAATGTTATTAAAATGAATAATTCATTTGTGCAAAAATATAAATTTACCTTCGCAGCTTCAAATTTATTAAGTCGGTGTTAAATTAATAATATCATTTGTGTATTCAAAAAATATTCGGGTAAATGTAAATATACCTGAGTTTAATAAATCACAATACTATATTCTCTAATATTTAAATAAATTATTGCAACTAATGATACTCGAACGTACACATACAATCGCATATTCATTAGTTTACGAAAAAATAATACTTTTCCATACATGTTATATACTAATAAATCAAGACAACAACTAAATAACATAATGCGCTCTTTCATACCTAAAGCAAATAGTTAAATTTAATATGAAATAATCCTTTTGCAGCTAGAAAATATTTCGTAAACTCCACTGCGTAGACGCGAAGCTTTTATAACTAATATATATATATTATGATTTTAATGTAATATTGTATTGTCATTTAATGTCTATTAGAAAGTAGAAAAATGTTAATAACTATTCATCTCAATTTTGTTTACTTAAAAAAATAATTTTTCTTGTCTAAAACACTTAATTCTACTCAATTACCTAACTTTATAATAAAATCCAACCCTAAGCTTTGATAATTTGTAAATTAAATTACAGGAAATCTAAACGTACAAAGATAATGTTATTAATAGGAGCACGATTAAAGCGGAAAATAATGAATGGACTTGAGAAAAATACCAAATGAATAATTATTACTTAGATTGGTAACTCAATAGGATATAAACTTTCTCTAAATTATCTCGAATAATCCATTAAAAAATTAGATAAGAAAAAATTGCTTATCTCTTTGTGATACATAAAGTTTATTCTTTCACAAATTAAATAATAATCCATAGAGAATAAAGACGTAATTAATCATCGTGTTAGTAACTGTTTAATAAATTTTTAGAAAAATTCTATTGTTATTAACATTGTACTTATTTTGATATTTACTTACTCCTGTTTTTTATTAAAAATTATTACAAGAGCAGAGCTAATATAATAATTTGTAAACTTTAATTATTTTTATTCGCCATAATAATATAAATTGCTGTGAATATATAGATAAATAAATAAAAACTTAAATATTTGAAATGAAATAGGAGTGATTCTAGTAAAATAATGCTCTTTCTTTCTCTCGCGAGACTACGTGAAAGAAAAATATTTCTTCAAATGTACATTGAAAATTGATATTTTTAAAAAGCATAATATCAATTTTATTAAAGAAAAATAAATGGTTTTGAAATATTTAGTAAAAAATATAGACGAAATAAAAATTCAAAGTGGTATAATTTTTAAATTCATATTATAAAGTTTTTAATATTCTTCGAGATTGCAAGAACCTCTCGCGAGTGTTGGACATCTAGGGAAAAGCCAAGTCGTTAGCCATCTGGGGGTCTTTGTCTAAGTCCAAGGATCATTGGACATCTGAAAAAAGGCTTGAATGCACAGTGGCGACCATTACTTCTAGCATCACAATCGCCTACATTGTTCGCAGAGCCAGGTAGACTGTCGCGTTGATATTTAAAACTAAGACACTACGTAACAGGTGCCATTCAGCCATGAGCTAATCACTCAGAGTGGAGACACCATGGAAGGAATACGGTCCGTCTAACAGGACCGCCATGAAAGATACAGGCGCTATAACAGCGGGGATGCCAAGGAAGTAAAAAGCTCTCTCAGTAGAGCCGCCACGGAAGGAGGACGCGTTCAGTTTCGTGTAACTACTCAGCACATCGAACCTCGGGCATAGTGCCCAAGAGCAGGAAGCGGTTGCAGGTGACTCTCACGCACTCTCTCAAGGAACCTCTCATTCAGTGCCAACACGCACTTTCAGCTAGGAATCTCATCTCATGTTGAGAGCAAGCGCACTCTCAACATCGAACCATCTCTTCAAGCTTCCATACCACGAGACATCAAGAAGGAGACGATGGTCAGGCACTGCACGAAGAAGTATACAGAGATTTGCGATCTCCCACCCCTACAACTACTGCATGCTAACTCCATGTGGCAACAACCCAAGAATCATTAGAGTCTATTTGTCAAATAAAATGCAATAAACAAGCACGAAAAGCAGATCTGTTGAATACTGAATTGAATCATTACCCATTCCACTTATTCACACTTTTTATCACCAGTTTTATCAACTGGTGGACTAAGTCTAATGCTAAACAAATATATAATCATCGTGTATAATAAGTTGATTATTTTGTAATATTTTAAGCTTTTAAAGTACTAGCATTAATAATTCAGCTAAATTATATTCGTTAAAATTATTTAACATCTTAAACATTATTTGTAATATGTTGTTTTAATACAATTTGTCGTTAAAAAAATTTAATTATTCATTGCCTAGACAACACTCATTGATTTATAACAACATTTGTTAAAGATCTCGCTTACACGCCCCCGCGCGTACGCACGAGCGCATGAACGCACGAACGCACGAACGCACACATATACGCATATGTATACCTTTCGATTACAAATTGTACAAGCTTTTATATAATATAAAGTTGGGTACAATAACATTTCTTCGTACTATTTTATAGAAATTTTATGATCGTCCAATGAATCTTTTTACGACGTATATATTATAGATAGATACATAAGTTATAAAAGCTACACTAAAAAAGGCTATTGAAAGTATTTTTGAGCGTCATGAACATAAATTTGAACATAAATGAACTTACCTGGTTGGATATTGTGCCACTGAATGTCGACAAAGTCATCGCGCTCGAAACGACTTTGCTCGTGTAGGAAACCGATTGTATGCATTAGTTCGTGTATAACAGTGCCCTTCCTTGTTAAACATTCAGGAACTTGTAAGTTTAAGTTTTGAGGACCACCAATACGACCAATGGTACTCCAGCATCCGGTATTACCAGCTGTGATGCGAATGTAGTCAGTTTCTTCGCCCATATACGGCTTGAACTTGATACACGTGTGGAGATGATAATCCGTCATTGCGTCACGAATTACCTTTTGCTGATCCTCATCTATCGTTTATTATTATTATTGTATTATCATTATTATCATTATTGTATATTTACGTTCATTATTTGTACTTAATGATTGAAAAAACTATTGTGTATTTGTAATGTTAATTGAATTTACGATTGAGACCAAATCAGTACATTTTAAGCCATAGCATTTGGTTATGTTGTAACATTGAAATTCTATGAGGAAATAAGATTGATTAAGAAATGTCTCGGATTATTAAAATCTTTAAAGTATTAAAGTATTAATTACTCGTTTATGCCTCACTCAATCATTATCAATATACGGGAATGCCTTAACTAAACAAAAACTCGCATGAATCTTACTAAAGAATGGACTGATCATGTAGGGAACAACACCACCCGGCCATCTGAAACTTTCCAACCTCATGCCATTGCGTTTAAAGGTATTGGGAAGCATAATATCTCCCTCGAGATACTCTCCCAGTTCTTCCGGATTAACCGACATATTTGCATGCCATTGCGAAACTTTGACACCCGTCGCGTTGCTCGGAGCCACAAACATTCGGTCCTCAACATTTTCAATTAGATTTGCAGTGTCCGATGGATTGTCCAATTGATGGTGGTACGATGTGCTCGGTCGACCGGAGCAATGAGCCACCAGGAGAAAAATACTTGCCAGGACAACTTGATGCGCATTATTTCGTAGCATCTTTTTCTGGGGAAAAGTCAGAAATGTTCTTATGGCTTTAGTTTAAATTCTATAAATCTACGCTCGATCTAATTCCAATATAAAACTCTTCTTCGATTCTCATTTGTAACAATCGCCTAGCAAACGTCAAGCGAAAAACTATTTTTAAACAAAGGCATTTTTAAATAAAGAATCAAAGAAATTCAATTTCAACTTTTCTTATCATCTCGATGAAGATACAAAAGCTCAGAGAATAAAACACATCTAAGCAATATAAGTTTTAAACAGTTATGAAAGATTTCAACTTCAATCTCAGTTTTTTTTTATACGCAAATATAGTCATAATTTATTTGTTTATTCTTTTGTTTTCTTTTTTTTTTTTTTTTTTTTTTTTTTTTTTTTTTTGTTTTTTATTTTTTGTTAAGAAACATGTTCAAATTGCAGTTTGAAATGAATCTTCTGTAAACAAATATGAGCATATGAAATACAAAGAAGTTATTTGCTATTTGTATGATTATTTATTTGTTAAACAAATATTACTTTAAAAGTGCTGTAATAATAATATTTTTAAAAGAATCAATTTATCGTCTCACACTTTATTCATGCAATTTCCGAGACAATTATGTACATATATGTAATTAAAACTCAAAACGATATAAAATAAATATAAAATATATCCCTTACTATGTAACAAATGATATTTTGTATGTAAATAAAATTTAAAAAGATACCCTTTCATTCGTTTATTTGAACAAACTTTTTTGTTATATATATATTATATTATATATTATATTATTTATAAACAAACAAACTACTCGACGCTTTAACAAATTTACAAGTTTATCTAATTATTAAATTTTCTTTCCTTTCTTTTTTAAATATTTTTATAATTTGCAATTCTAACATTTCTCCGATCATACTAATATATCAATTTTCCTCCTTTTATGAGTTTCAGCTTTAAACATTTTCAATAATGCAATATTTTATAATTTAATCTCACTAATTAATGATATAATAATACAATAATGATCCTTTTGCGTTTGCTTATTTCTAATCTTAAAACGAATAATTACACTGATTATACTAACTGAGAAGTTTTTACAATAAAAGAAAAAAAAAGAAAAATAACGCATTTTATACAAAAAAAATACTTCTTTCATTAAAATTGCTATTTATTATTTAAAAATTTTACAAATTTGTTTCAAAGTTGAATACTAAATAATTAAATCTTTCTATACGGAACAATCTAGTCGGTATAAAATAAAATTGATGAGTTTTTAAAATTTTATTAAAATTGAGGCAAAATGAGTTTTACCATATAGGATTCACCGTACCTAATCGATTTAAACAGACATCATAGTTGAACAAGAGTCTGTACAAAACTTTGTTGCCGATTCAACTCTAACTTGCAGCAACAAAACTTTACGTTTATGTTAGTACTTTTGTTGGTATTATTCTAAAAAAATTTTTTGTTAATTTTGTGTTCAAATTTGAGGAATAAACATATGTTTGCGTAAACCTTCAAATCTCTCTCTCTCTCTCTCTCTCTCTCTCTCTCTCTCTCCCTCTCTCTGACTAGTGCTATATAATGCTTTTACAAAATTCTAAATATAAAACCTACATATCAAATTTGAATATCGAATTCTAAATAATAAATAAAATGTCATCTCGCCAACTTTATTCTTAATAGAGCATAATAAATATTATATATTTCATAAGGATTACAACTGTATACGATATTATGAGTACAAATACATAGAAATTTAAACAATAAATAAAGATATAATTTTGTAATAGATCTGGAAATGTGAATATCGAGTACACACAGATTTAAAAGTCCTTTAAACTTAAAGGAATGAAAAATTTTAGACTAAATTTAATCACAAATTATTATATTGTAAATGCATTATAAAATACAATGGTTCTGAAAAATATAAGTTGTTGATTGATTTAAATTTATCCTCAAATTTATTTATTATTTATCATTATGTTTAATATCATTCGTATTAAATGTATGTTTAAAGCATGAAATAGTCCAATCAGAATAAAAGTTTCTAAGTCTAAAAATTGTAAATAAATTCAGTAAAAAATCTGACAAGTCCATAAACTGTAATACTTAGAAATATAAAATAGGAATACTCCTCACCTTTTATCTATAACAACTATGCACTATTATTATTTTGCCGTAAATCTAAAAAGAGAAATAAAATTAATAAAATTATTACAAATGAACTAAAGCAGATGATGAATGTTGATTTCTAATCACAAAATGAACTTCGGCACACTGTCGAAGTTCCGTTGGTCGCTTGTAACTTTATAGTCGTAAGAACAGCTCCACCATTGCCGACAGCACACTAGTACTCTCGCAGATATATTGGGGACAGTAAAGATAACGCGAGCAACGTTCTCCGAGTACCTTGTTTAACGGAAATGCCAATTCAAGACAGGATCCATCGTTATTCACGCGCCAACTTCTCTCAATGTCAATTCCTCCCCAGTTCTGAAATTTATCGACTTCTTTAAACTTATTTATTTCCCTATTTTGATACTTTTTTCTTATTAGTTTTAGTCTTTTTTTGTCTCTTAAAGTGGAGTGATTCGTAATATTGACTAGGAAATTATGAAAGCCAATTAAATTTAATATAATTTTTCTTCTTTTCATGAAATTCAATTTCACGCACTATGATGTTTCTCTGAATACAATTGATACTTGAAATTGATTCATTCTTAAATAAAAGACAAAAAAAGAGAGAGAAAAAAAGAAGAAGGGAAAAAGAGAAGGGAAAGAAAAAGAAAAAAAAAAGAAAGACAGAAAAAGTTTATGATAATAATCATCATACAACATTCTCCATTTTATTTATTTCATTATTTTACTTACAATACTTAAACTAAAATTTTCATTGTTATTAATCCTTTGCTTCTAATTTTTATAACGAATTACATTTCTTATGAAATAATATGTTTGAATTTATGAATTAAACGAAATTTCATGATATATGAATATTCTTTATGTTAACAATATATGAATGAATATTTCTTTAACACCGATGTAATAGCTAATTTAACTTGAATGGTTTTAATGTATAGCATTGTTATTAAATAAAATTTTGGTTAAATACGGACTTACTAGAAACATATATATAAATATCTTTGTTAAAAATGTATTAAACATATATATATATATATATTGAAAAAAATGAAGAAAAAATATTTAAAAAATTGATATTATTCAAACAATTATAATATTTGAAAACTATTTATGTTAAAATTTTATGTTGAAGCTTATGTCTTGAAATCGAAATCTTCAATAAAAATGTAACAAAATATAATTAAAAGAAAATACAAACTTTCTCTGAATTAAATATTTAATTATATAAATTTAAAAGTTTCACGAGAATAATAAATTGTAACTATATTGTAAAGATAAAGTCACCTTCGATATTTAATTTTATCAGTACTATTTTCATTTCCTTTCCCAAACATTTACCCATTCATTATGTTCCTCCTTAATCCTAAACATTTCCTACTTCCTAGATAAAACAATGAAAGCAGTTCCCGAAAAGAAGTATCAAACCGAGTATTAATTGACATAATTCACACGATGTACGTCATCCATGAAGACATAAAGTAACCTAGTGTATGTCTCATATGCTGAATGATGATATAAACATCCTCGTAGGCTTGAATACTTAAATGGCTAATCGCAGAATTAACAAAATGTAACGTCAAACCCAACAAGTAGTATGATAGTAATTCACATTGCTGATAATAAATTATTCCAATGGGCGTTAGTTTAATCACATATTTTCTTTACTTTGTTTTTTGTTTTTTTTTTTTTAACTTAAATTATTGTTCGGGCACATTTTTATACAACATAATTGAGTAGATATTATTATTTTTAATCAAACGCAGTTTTTATAGAAAATGGCAATAATCACTGTGACGTAAAACAATATAATCGGTATTGATAAATATATTTAAATATCGTAGTATATTAATCTAAACGATGCATTACTTATATTTATAATATTGATAATTTTATTAAAACTGACATATATTGCTAGATTGAAAAAAAAATAAAAAATACTTTTATTCTTTATGAAATATTCAGACAAGTTTTAATTAATTTAATTTGAAATGACACAATGATCGCGCAACAAAATAAAAATGATTTTTAAAAACTATGTCTTTAGTTGATTCTTTAACATTTCAATATGGTTTTAATTCAATATCTATTAAAGAAATTAATTAGTTATTTTAATTTTCTAACTTTTTAATGCACATAAAATTATATCATTATTTTATTATTAATTAAATAATGAGGTCCAAAATGACATTGAAAAGTTATTAGCAAATTAGCAAAAAAAAAAAAAAAAAAAAAAAAAAAAGGAATGTAATGTTACAAAAACAATGATAGAAAAAAATTAACTCGTAAATAAAACAACGAAAATGTTATATTAATGTATTAAAAAAATAACGTAAAGATGAGTAAAAAAAAAACTATTCCATGGTAATACATCAAACAAGTTATAACATTGTCGATATTATAAAAATTTCAAAAAAGGAATAAGAACCAAGAATTACAGGATAAAGAAAGCTTATTGGTCAATGAATGTAAATTACAAAAATTTATATTAAAGTAAATATGCAAGACACAGAAGAACATACAATGACCAATGAACCCAATGACGATAGTTTTTTCAGCACAATGTATTTTTACATTAAAACATAATATCATGCATTATGCATTATTGCATTAAAGCATTTTCAATGAACCGAATTATATATAACATTATCTGTCTTAATTAAAAAAAAAAAAAAAAATTAAAATGAAAAGAATTAACGAAAATAAATAAGGACAAATATTTGTAAGCATTAGCTTTAAATTTCAAGTTGTTCAATGATATGATAAATTTCGCAAAAGATATAATCTAAGCATACAGTTTTGGATAAAAAAAAAAAAAAAAAAACAAGAAGAAGAAATTGAAAATTAAGATGTTAATTAATAGTTATTGGATATCTTAACATTGGATACATTAAAACATATAAATAATATAAGAATGAAATATATATGAAAAGACAAAAAAATAAAAATAAATAACAAATTCTGCAATTACATTTTTCAATTAAAAATTAAAAATAGTAATTCATCCTGTTCTATAGACTCAAAATCAATATACGAAGCAGCCAGATCTACCCGGAAAACATGCATGGATGCATATACCTGCGGTAACACATAAATTAGGTATAAAAGCATGAGCAGATAGAGCAATGCAGGTGACTCAAATGAATAGTGCAGTGTAGTATAAAGCTTTTGGAAAAGCCAATAATATACTTATTTTTCCATTTACGTTTTTATTATTCATGTTAGAATTAATGGAACAAGTTAGAAACAACAGGAAATCATATTTAGGCAATGGTAATCTGAATAAAAGCCGAATGTTTTTCTAAAATTGTCTTGTCTATGTTCTAATGTATTTAATTGTAAAAAAAAAAAAAAAACAAACAAAAATGTAACAGTTTAAGTAATTAATACGAAGCTTTATTTTATAAAAAAAATTTAATATGAAGAAAATAAATTCTCTTTAAAATCATTAAAAATTTACGGTAAACGCATAGACATAATTGTAATAATTTTTATTTATGTAATAAATTATGAATATCAAACAATTGCAGACACAAGTATTCATTTTTCTTAATTTGAATTACAGAACCTAACAATATCAGACAATATTCTAATAAATTGCGTCTCCCTCACTTTCTAAACTGTAACATTTAATAACTTATAATAAATTTATGAATATATATAACATTTGTTAAGTATGGCAAGCGTTGATTTATATCAATAAATTTTACGATAAAAATGTCAACATTACAGAAAAATTGTATTAATTCTAGGCTATATTTATGGGAGCATTAACCATCTATTGGCTATGAAGAAGAAATTCTTTTTTATGGAATTCTGTTTAAATATATTTTTATAAATATGCTTACTTAAATATAATTATAAATATACAATTTGATACAATTGAATTGAAAATTTTTAAAAATATTTTCTATAATAATTAAATTAACTAATCGATACCAAAAACAGCTCATTTATCAGCATTAAGGCTTATACATTATTATAAATATTATTAATAGAACTAGTGTTATAATAATAATATTTTACAATAAAATACTAATCCTATTAAGTTTTATACAATTTTTAAATATTAAACAAATAAAGTAAAATTTATTATTGTAATAGTATCAGTAATAATAATACAATCAACAACAAAAATAATAATGCAATGTGCGTAAGTGTATTGCTTATTATCTTAAAATATTTGAAACAAATCATTCATTGTGCAAAAAATATTAATGTCCAAAATTCGAGCACTCAAATTATTTTTAATACTATGTCACCCTAATGATAGGCATAATTTTACTAAATACACAAAACACTACTTTACTCAAGTATTTTCATCTGAAGGATGTTGCATATTCAAAACTATAAAATTGTTTCAAAACGTGCGGTTTACGTGGCTTCTTAACTATGCACACTGATTTAATATATATATATTTTTTTTTTTATAAGTTTTTACAAATATTTATCGCATTATATGATAACCCGTGGTTTTTCTTATTAAGTTTTAAAACTTCCTTTCGTAATAAATAACAATTTGACAAAGCTTGAATTGTTCCAATGAATTATTCCAATGCCAATGTATGCAAACAAATTGTTAAATTTAAAAATTTTTCAAATCGCATCTCACATTAAAAAATTCCATTTAAAATTAACATCATGAAACGTTTACTCTATTACCTGCATTGTACGTATTTCATTAGTTTCCCTCTATCCGATATTACAAACATAATGTACTATATCATTTTTAATTTTGTTGTAACAACAGTTTAGTTATGATCGATGAGATTTTTAAATGAAAAAATTTTATATGTAAATACACAACGCAACGTGCAAATACACAGAAGCTATGTATTTTTTTATATTACATATTTCAATTAACTGGGATAGGAAATATTTTATACGAAAAATATATTGTTTGCAATTATTACTTAATGGAAAAATTGAATCTTTCCTTTTATAATAAACAAATACCAATAATAACCAATTAATTTATTATAAACATATATGGTGGGATATTCTTCATAAATGATTTAATTCTCATAAATTATTTAAGTATTTCCAACATTGAAAATTGTCAAGCACTTAAACAAAAATTAAACATTATAATATTATAAATTAAATATTATAATAAAAATGTCGATGAAACATATAAGTTTTTACAAAATATTACATTATTTTACGGACAAAATTTTGCCGGCATTCGCTTTTATTTTGATTGGATAGACTTTAATAATGTTCTAACTTCGATGGAAATTAAATTAAAAATACAGGATTTTTTACAAACTTTTATTTTAACAATGAGTTCACGATTATTATCAGATTATTCGCTATAATTTCAATATAATTTTTCAATATAAGAGCTTGATTAAGCATATTATAATACATAACCTAAAATTACTCGGCGAACGAAGTATCGTTTTCGCGAACAGTAAGAAAGTTGTTAACGTATTTTAATAATCTATTTCATACAATAAACGAATTGAAATGGTTGATAGATGGTATGAAATCACCCAAGCCATTAAAGACAATCGACGTGAGTTAATACTTTCGGGTGAAGAAGTATCTAGAAAAATTGCAGAGAATGGACTTGATAGTACACTTTTCGACATAGACACTATCAATTATTTAAATATCAGTAATACCTGTCTTAATCATTTGCCAGATGAACTAGGAAATTTACAAAACATTACAAATCTTGTACTTCATTCGAATTTAATTAAAAATTTGCCGAATACCATTGGAAATTTAAAAAAATTAAAAGTTCTTGATTGTTCACAAAATGAACTTGAAGAAGTACCATCAGAATTGAGGGATTTACCACAATTAATGACTCTAAACCTTAGATCAAATCAATTTAGTTATTTGCCACCGCAAATTTCTAACGCCAAGCTGTGCTCTATCGATTTATCAAATAATAAATTTGAAGAATTTCCAGATATCTGCTACGCTGAGTTAATTCATCTTGCCGAAGTTAGGTTGAATAACAATTTAATTAAAGTAATTCCAACAAATATATCAGTTTTACCATCATTGAAGCTTTTGGATTTGGGTGCTAATCAGATTTCAGGTAATTATTAAGATATTTAAACTTTTTATATACTTAATATGAAAATATAGTTTTGAGCCTAATATCCCATCATTAATATCATATTTATTTCATAAAACTAATAAATTGTATTTTGAATATTTTCAACTACTTTTTAAAAAAAATAATTTTTTATTAGTTATACCAGGTGAAGTAGCAGACTGTACCAAATTGAAAGATTTAAATCTAAAAGATAACCCTCTGAATGATAAACGATTATTGAAATTGGTCAATCAATGTCGTATGAAACAAGTCCTAGACTATGTGAGACAAAATTGTATCAAGATTGGAAATATATCATCAATTAATAATACAAAATCAAAGAAAGGGAAAAAAAGTTCAAAGAATCTTGATAATGATAATATAGACTCAGAATTAGAATTATGTGTTCATAAATTACGTATTTTAAAAGTACCTGATACAAATTTTGTTATAAAAATTATGGAAGATGTAAAAAAAGTCCGACCATTTATTCTTGGATGCGTTGTTAAGAATTTGACATTCACAGAACAGAGTTTTAAGAAATTTATCCAATTACAAACAAGACTTCATGAAAATATTTGTGAGAAACGAAATGCAGCAACATTAGCAACCCATGATTTTGATTCATTGCTCGATGGTAGAAATAATATTATTAAAATATATCTAATAATTGCCATAATATTTTATTTTTCTTGGTCCCTGCAGGAAACTTGATATACACAGCTCAAGCTCCGAATGACATTAAAATTAAACCTCTTATGCGCACAAAGGAATTTACTGGTGCCGAACTTTTTCAACAATTACAAACAGAGGCTGAAAATTTGCGTAAAGAAAAGAAACGTAATGTCTATTCGGGCATACATAAATATTTGTATCTTTTGGAAGGAAAGCCACTTTACGCATGTTTATTGGACTCCAGTAATCAAGTTATTTCTTTTCCTCCCATAACAAATAGTGATATTACAAAAATGTCTATTGATACGAAAAATATGTTTGTTGAAGTAACAAGTGCTCTTAATCAACAAATTTGCAAGTAAGTATAATTTCGATAGTAGTTGAAAATAAATGGGATAATTATCACCTAAGTGCCTAAAAATTAAAGAATTACAAAATATTTGGTAACGCCATCTTCTTTGAATCCATTTTATAATCATATTTTATACATTCGTGAAAACTTATAAATATTATATATAAATAATTAAAAATTAAAAAATAATAATATAATTGTAGGAAAGTATTAGATGAATTTTTAAGAGAATTATTAATTCAAGGACTTGGATGTGAAAGCAACAGTGAAAATAAATTTAATGAATTAACCGTTGAACAAGTAAAAATTGTTGACATTGAAGGTAATATGAAATCAGTGTATCCATCTAGAACCGATGCAATTTATGAAGATAAAAACCTATTAGTAATAAGGCAGTAATTCAATTATATTTATATATTAATGTATATCTAAGTGTACAAACATATTTCGTAATATTTTTAATGAATTTCCTTGAAAATATAACTTTGTAATCGTTTTTCGGTTAAAATATGTTTTTATAAAAATATTCTTGCCATCATTATTACAGAAGAATATAAGCATTAGTATATACAGTATGTAAAATAATGTCATGAATGAATTACTTACATTTATCAATAATGTATTTAACAAAGATATTTGTTTTATTATCTATAGATTTTCTTATTTTTCTATACATGTATATGATTAATGGCATTAAAAACGTGAAATATATCAACTACATGTATTATTAAATGATAAAAATTTTTTCATATTACAGTAGATAGTTTTTTTTATATCTATATATATATATATATATATATATGTTTTATAATTCACAGACTTCATTGAAGTAGAATAAAACTAATTATTGCACATTGTAATTTTGAAAAATTAAAATTTAAAAGTATATTTAGGTAATAAAAGCTATTACCACTCAGATATTATTTATCATATTACAAAAAAATCCGGTATAGAATTATCAAATGAAACATAATAACAAATCTTTAATAAAATACATATGACAGCAAATTTTAAATAAATAATTTGCATTTATTTTTTTATTCCTTATTAATTATAAAGGAAACTTCAGCCTATTAAAAATCTTTCACTTTTAATATCTTAGCCTTTCTATGATAATAAAATGATTATCAAACAATATTAATGCTCGTTACTATAACAAATATTTCTCCTCAAAATGCTTTAGAAGCTTCGTTATACAATTAATTTTATTATTAAACTTGTACACATTAATATTTCATAATGTTGATTTACTAAACAATTTTTTAAACAGTTTCATAAATGAGAAGCATAAATTACTTGAAATAAATTATAAATTATAAAAAAAAAAAAAAAAAAAAAATAATGTATACATACATTTATAGATTTGTATGTGAAATTAAGGAAAGGAAAGGAAATGAAAATTGGATATATAATATAATCTTAAAATATCATCCCATGGAAATCATAAAGGCACAGGCTCCTAAAAGGTTTCAATTTCATGCCGTCACAACTCATAGCGGCAAAATTCAAATGCCTATGACAATTGTTTTCTTTGGCGTTCCATTCGTAGTATTCATACCAATACTCGTTTGCAGCCGTGGCTCAGCTGATTTTGGCGCTGCTGTGTAGTATGTGTTGTATATTCGTCCTTAATTCTTTCGGAAGTCTACGGCTTTCGGAGCCGGTTATTCGATTCACCCGTTCTTACAAATATTTTCAATTCCTTTGGCCATTAATGGTCTTTAATTTACAAAAAAACGCAACCCTCCATGCTTCACGTGATTCAAGTTTACGAACTTTGCACTTGTCTCCTTAATATAACATTTCTTTTTTATTAAAATGAAAACTTCGGAATTTCGTGGGTGATAAGCTCGTACAGTCAACTCGGCGTAATTGTGCACGTAATAAAAAAATTACCAATACGATAAAATGAGAAAATCGGCATGTGCAGGTCATTATTGTACGATTAACAAATCTAAGCCTCATTTATTTATAATTTCAATAAACTAATTTAATTATTTCCCTTTCCCTCCACTCGTTTCCTATTATTTTCTTTCTCCTTCTATCTTCCTTTCTCACTTCCATTCTCCTCTTCTCTTTTGCTTTTTCTTCACTGCGGCAACAACATGCGCGAATGTTCAAAGCTGTAAAATGGCGCTGAAACGTGACTGGCAGTGAACGTGTGGATCAGTGAAGAATATTAAAATTTACATTTTTGAGGTTAGTTTTTTTTTGTTTCTTTCATATTAATATAAATTTATTGTCCATAATTAGAATATAATTATCTTCCAAACATGTATGAACTATTTGATCGATGAATTTACAAAATTATGTTCATCACGTACTCTTATTAATAATGAAAATGTGCGTATTGCTTTACTCCGTGCCATTTTTACGATATTTAGCAATTTTTTAGATTTTACTATTCTTATGATAACAAAGGCAAAATTCTCAATTCTTTTTACGACCTATTAACAAAAAAATAACTAAGAAATTTCACAAATAATGAGACGCAACTGCTGTTGGTTTAAAATTTATTTTATCTTTTTTTTTTCTTTTTTTTTCTTTCTTTTTTTTTTTTATGTGGATCATAATGACATATGCAACTTTACGTAATTTGTTCGTATTTAATTTAATTTAATTAAATGATTTTTCCGAAAAATTCAATCTTTGTGTATAATTTTACAATAGATTTATATTTTCCTTTTACGAACGAGTATTTATTTTCATATTCATTAATTTCACTTTCACAAATTACTATTGAATAATAAAAAAAATTATAGTTTTTCATTTGGTACTTTAATATGCGGCATAATATATCCGTAAACCGATGTAAAAAATTTTGTGTTCAATTATAATTTTTATATATTCAAAAGGTTTTTTTAAATATTTTTTGCTAAATATATAAATATAATTCATTTGTATCTATATACTTCCAGTATAATACATTATATTATATATTTCTCTATTTTCACGTAAATATTATAATAATAATATGTCTGTGAGAATACATAAAATTAAAAACAAATTATAGTATAGTCTCTTCACTATTAATGCAGTTATTCTTTTCTGCTAAATCATCATTAAAAATAGAAAAAGGATGTGACAACATCGGTTAATAATAAATGCATTAAGAATGATAAATGGTGTGAAATCACAAATTCTTCAATGTAACATTTTTATTACATATTTTATTTTACACATATATATGTATATATATATTAAATAATTTAACTATACAGATCTAAAGTGATTATGTATTTTTAACTTAATTTGAAATATATATATCTATGTTGAGGTTTTAATATTATGATATACATATGATATACATGTCAATATTATTCACATACTAAAATAATTTGAAATAAATTTTATAAAAATTTCATATTAAATACTATAATGAGTCGGTTAACCTTTAAGTGTACTTCTTGTATAACTATTATTTAATGTTTGCTTTATTAGTAATAGCAAATATTATACATATTTTATTATTTATATTAAAAAATATATTTTATCTTTGATCTTTAATTGAGTAATTTAATGGAGCATTAAATGTACTTATAGTAATAAAATACAGCAATATTTAACCATAAAATCTATGTGGAAAATTTCAATAATATGTAATTATAAACTAATTATCTAATTAGATTTACTTTAAATAACTTTGGAAAATATGCTAAACCCTTAAATACATTTTTAAATGCTAAAATTTCTTAAAATTTCAGTCTGTTATAAACTATCTTTAAATTAATCGATGCCCCGCATCGAGTATAATAAATACATTTTATATCAAATTAATTTTGTAATAATGCAAATACATAGGATATACAAATTTAGCTAAATCGTCCTAATTACTACATCATGTAAACATAAATGTTTAGTAAATCAAATTTAAGGAAGATTGTTACGATCACATGAATCTTGACTAGCAAGTTGGAAATAGTTTGTAAATTTTATTTGGCTTTCTGAATTGCTTCCCTTTCCTTTGTGTCGATAATGCTGAGATTTATACATGCTACATAACCATGAAGTAATGAAATCAAAGCTTTTATAAAAGCAATTGGAGCTGATATATATGTAACAGCTTTAAATAAACTAATACCAAATACTGAAAATAAAAAGAGATTTGATTATATCTTATTGTATATCTTTAAGATATTAAAAAGAAATTTCTATTATTTCAAATTTACAACATTATATTTCTTACAAAATTATATGACATATATTACATATAAACTGAATGAGCATATCTCAGATTGAACAATATTTGTACTTAAATTCACAAATTATTTTAATCACAAATTATTCTTAATATTAAATCTTAAACTACTTGATATTACTTTAAAAATTTTATATAATTTTTTACAGCCAAATTTTAACAAAATGTTATTTTTAAAAAATTCATCAAAGCGCGTAAACGAACTTAAATATGTTTAATAACTTTTAGATAATTTCTTTTTATAATTTTTTAATTTTTACCAATAATATGTAATTATATTACTTACACACAGGACCTTCGGTAAAATTCAAAAGATACAAAGCTGCATAAAATGCTTCATTACCAGCACACATGCAGAATAAAACTGTACGATTAGTATAATATACATTCATAATAGCATTTTCAGACATATCTATAAATTTGTGACTCGTTTTGCCTTGTAAAACAGTTCTGAAACCAAATTTAATTTATTAGAAACTTCATTTCAATTTTTACATTTTCATAATGAACATAAATTATTCTCAGATTCATATTACACTAATAAACTAATTATACTTAAACAAAGAATTTATTTGAGAGAAAATACTTTATATAATAAAATACGTACGTATGCAAATAAATCCAATGACAAACAATATCAATAGTCATGCTAATTTGAAACCAAAAAGTGTAAGCTGGATAAAATTGTGCCAGAGTGACTAGAAGACACATAGTACCGGCTCTGTCTGTCAACTGATCAAGCATGGCACCAAATTTTGTTCCTTGTTTAAAGTATCTTGCTGCATGCCCATCAAAAGCATCTAATAGGGCACTAATAATATAACACCATGCCGCTACAGCATAATGTGTTGGCATATAGTAAAAGGATATCAATGCAAGTAAAACTCTGCCATAGCCTGTTAAAATAGTAAATATTTTGAAAAATAAGCTTTAATAACTTATACTTAGGTACACTTTAACACAGAATAAATATATTATAATTGTATAAAGTATTATATATATAATACTTTCTGTTCTAAAGATAATCAATAAAAGAAGACTTAGAAATGCTTTTATAGATTCATTTTAGTCACATATTTAAATATATATTTTTTTTCGAATTTTTTTGAATTTTAATATTAAAGAAATATTAAATTTTATAAAAAAAAATTTACTTTCATTAATAGAAATATTCAAATTGAAGCCTACTAACAAAAGTGTTTGTGCCAAAAATATCTTGTTTACTTTAAATGAGTAGCACTTATTGGCATAATTATCTTATTGACCGTTGACATTAGAACTCCTGGCAAATCTTTTAAATAATAAAACTTACCGATAATATTCGGCACAAAAAGAAAGATGTTCTCTGTCTCCATTGATTTTTCCTGTCTTTGTCTCTCTCTCTCTCTCTCTCTCTCTCTCTCTCGCTATCTCTCTCTCTCTCTCAATGTTCTAAACCACTTTTTCTGTATCGGTTTTAGAAGTCAATTAACTAAGAATAAGCAAAATAAATCGTTTACATCATTAGAAATCTTTTATCAATCTTTCTTTTCTTTATTTTTTTAATAAACTATGACTCACATGAGTATTACAACGATGCTCTTGTTAACCCAAAATCATATATTTGTAACAACAAGTTGTAAAAAAGACGTCAAAATATATAATGCAACGACTTATTTAATAACTGTATTCTATCTGCTCTACACTTGCATTTATCACTGCCTGAAACTCGCGGTACCTTAACTCTTAACGTCGCTCTCTCTCTCTCTCTCTCTCTCTCTCTCTCTCTCTCTCTCTCTCTCCCTTACTTAGAGATGTGTGGGTGCGTGTACGTTCATTGGTATTTACCTGACCACGCACGCGCAAAACCACATGCACCTACAATATTCATGTTTTGAAGAATTAAAAAAAGCCAATGAATCGATCTAATCTGTAAATATAATGCGCATATGAAGTGAAAATCAATTAATTTCTACGTAGCTTCAGTCATAAATTCAATTTTCGACACGTATTTAATACGTGTCGTAAACGTTGACATTTTAAATTTTATAGAAATTAGACGTCATATAAGCCTCTCCGTGTGCAAATGTAAGAACTTCTCTGCGCGCATGAGCAAACAAGTACGACCCGATTGGTTATTATTTGTATAAAAAAAAAATTAATAATAACAAAATGAAATACAAATGAAAATCTTCAAGTGGAAAGTAAAATTTTAAAAATAATAAATTCAAACGGTGACAATATAATAATATTATTCTATCATATATATAAATATATGCATATTAATCCACGTGTCATAAAGTTAATTAAATAATTTAAGCAATAATGATTTTATGAGTAATTATTATTGTATAAATAAATTTATTAAATAAATATGTATACATATTATTATTATTATTATATATATATTATTCTACATATAATGTGGAATTCTTTATTAATTAATTATGTTATATTTATTTGTTCGTATTTTGTAAATACGCATAAGCAATAAATAAAAACCATTTTCTTAAATCTCAAAAGTAACAATTGAATCTAAACTGTGCTATTTTTAAAAATTTTATTTAGTTTTTTACATCTCTGAATAATTCTAAGTATAAAATCAAATTATTTGTATCTTTAATTTTACTAATAATTGAATTTAAATTATCAATGGTATCTACTATATTCTCTAAATTTTCATTAGATATATAGTTTATATGAAAAAAATTTGCATATAAATTTACGAAATATTTAATAGAGAATTTAGATGAAAGAACGAGTACATTTAAAGTAATGTTTAATCTAAATGACAGTTAATTAAATGACAATAGAATTTCTATGTATATATGTGTGTGTATATATATATATATATATATATATATATATATCGATTAGGCTTTGATGCGTGCGTTCGCGCTCGCACGCACTACAGATTAATCAATATTATATTAATTTATAGTATTTACTAATTACTTGTATTATTGTGTTCATTATTCTGTAAAGTTAAAAGAATAATAATTAAAAAAAAAAAATTTTTCACTATGTAATTGTTTATTATTAGCGTGAAAAATATTTGAAAAAAAAAACGATAAAATTATATTGTAATGATTTCATTTTCGCGTTTAATAAATTAAAATCAACCAAAACGGTAAATGAACGACTTGAAGGAACATTCAATACGGAATCTCGAGAATGATTTATCAATTAAAAAATCGTAAAACGTATGAAGGCCTTTATGAATAATTGAAACCTTGTCTAGTATCCCACTATATAGAAATTTTGCAATCATTCTATTCTTACATAAATAACCAACATAAATAAAATTATTTATTTATTAAAAATTAATTATTTATTTATTTATTGAAAAATTTGAGAATAATATAAATACCAGCTTTAAGTAATATTATATTATGCATAATTATGAACAAAGAAAAAATAATTAGATTAATCATTTACGGAAGAAAAAGAAATACTAGGTACTTAAAATTAATTTTATATTTATAAAAAAGGATTAAATTTAATGTAAATATTTTATCATGCATACTATTATGTAATTTAAACATTTGCCTTATTGAGAAAACTAGAAGTTTTGATGACAAAAATAGACAATTTCAAAGGATAATAATTAGAAAATAAACGTTCTTACGTTATTGAGATAGACGGTCGATTTTTCAAAGATAAAATATATAAATTTAATAAATGTAAAAATTCAAATTATAAAAATATAGATTAATATTGTTTCTAATAACAAAATTTATTTTATGTTACTGTTGATGTATCAAACATTCAATGTAATTATTTTTACTATCATAGAACCTTTAAATTCATAATATTCGAGTTAAATATATTATGTTTAACGTAATATAGCATATTTTTAAACATTTAGGGTAAATTCTTTTGTAAAAATTTGTTGTTATTCATTTGTGTCCATAAATTTGATGTTATCCGATTACTCTTGACTTCGAACATACCATAAAAACATCTTTTCATCTTAAATTTAATAGCAGGAGTTATAAACAATAATATTCTTTTTCTCTTTTAATTATCCTGTATACATTGCTTTAAATAATACTTATAAATATCTATTTACTTTAAGAAAAACTTTTCATATATGATATTATTTTATATAAATCTAAATATATATATATATATATAACTATTAATATAAACAGATGAAATATAATTTTTCAAACTATCCAGAAAAGGTTTTATGAACATTATAGATTTTAATGAAAGAGAGCGTCTTTACATGTTAAAGTTTCATTCTCCACGACTTATCTTCTGTTCTTATAAATAAGTGAAAATCTCGATTCAATTCTCAATTCCTTAAAAATGTCATAATTCTACCAATTGGTTGACTCATTCGTTCAGTTGCATTATTGCGCCTACATGCGCATAAGCTTCCGTCTGGCAATTTATCACTCATTATTGTCAAGTAGCTTAAAGCATTAAAAAACAAACAGACTCACAGCATTTACGCGAATGAAAAGCTCCGAGAAAAAATACGCGCGCGTGTCTGCTTATGAATTTGAAAGGGTATTTGAACGAAAAGATGCAGCGCGCGTTTCGGTACAGCTGCAGCAGCATCAGTAACAGCCATCGGCCAACGAGGACTTCGAGGTGCAAATTGGGAAGGATTTTTATAAAATTGCTACTGTGATTTGCATTACCTTGGGCTTCCACAAGAACGTGTATAAGCATAAACGAAAGGAGGCAGGAAGCGCACGCACGCACACATAGAAGGGGGAGAAAAAGGAGGAGGAGCGAAGGAAGGAAGAACGTCAGTTGACGACGTTCTTAACATAGCTAATTAGCGCCAAAGAAAGTAACGAAGAAGATGACATAAAAACTCAATGTGCAAAGTGTATGATTGTCTATTTTTAAAGACTGAGCCTCAGTTTGTCGCCTGAAGTCTTGGCCTCTTTTTTATTATTGTTGCGATTGTCATTGTTATTTCTTTTTCGCTTCTCATTTTGTTACTGTCTAGGTATCTTGGTTGTATATGTAGAACGTTGAGAAAAAAAAGTTCACCAAGTTGCAAGATATTGGCAACGAGAGAAGGGCAGTCAGAAACTAATGGATTAGAGAAAGATAGCGTAAAGAGGTGGTAAGGGGGGGGGTCCACTATAATTGACGATCGAGGACCGAACAACGCTTTTGCTAGGATAATTTAATGTTTATTCGTAATTCAAGAATGGACTACCATGTGATATCGATAGTACAACTATTTGACAAATAATCTGGTTAAGTGTCAAACGCGAATAGCAATATGACTATCGTCAGAGATGCGCGACGCATAATGTGAAAATACGACATGAGTGCGCAGGTGTAAATTCATCTGCACAAACAGCAGTTGTGTTGCGTTCATTTATTCATCGTAAACTCTCTAACACATACATAATGAAAGATGCTTATCTACCAATAAAAATAAATGTTTTGAATCTTTAAGGATACGCGACCAGCGATAAATCAACTAACATTCGTCACACGAAGCAAAATATTTTAGTGTCCCGCAAAAGCAGTTGTCCCTTCATTATAAACACAGTTATGATAAACGCTCGATTTCTAAGGTGAAAGATAAATTCAAGTTGACCGACTTACTACTTTTATTGCGCTAATTAATCACGACTAAAATTGTAGGATATGTTAATAAGTGTCGTGTCGATAGGGTCATCGATAGAGTCTCGTTCGCCCTCAAATGCCCTTATATGCTTATTTAACGAATTTCTCGTAAATTTATTGATGAATGGCTTCAAAACCGCGCGAATATCGCGGTGCAAAGTAGTGCAGGCCGAAGGACACCTTCGGGGCTCCCTCGCCCTTGCAATGCGCACACGCGCTGTATCGCCTTCGTCCAAAGTAGCGCATTCGTCATGAATGTCCGCTGCCGCCGCCACCGCAACCACGAACGCCAACCATCGCTAAAGATACAACTGAGAAAGAAGGAGAGAAGAGGTACGAGGTAGTCCGGCAAAACAGGAGCAGACGCCGTTGGCTCGCGTGTGCGTGCTCTCTCTCTCTCTCTCTCTCTCTCTCTCTCTCTCTGTCCCGCCAGTCAGCCATTCTTTTATTTTCGCGCGGTTGTGTTACCGCAGCCGAGCGATCTATCCAGACTTGTCGCGTACGTTACTCGCACGCCCTGATCGCAACCCCCCCCCCTCCAACATAACCCCGTAAATGTACGACCAAAATCTCGAGCGCTACTGCCCTTGCAATTGGCTGGCGGCGCCTTGCACACCGCTGCTGCCGACGACGCTCCCTCTCTTCACCGCCCTGCACCTAGTGCGACACGAGGCGCCACCCACACGTTTTCGTTGCGTGCTTCCGCCAAAAAAAGAAATAACGAAACTGGCGGCCGATCGTCCCGTCATCCTCGAGAATTAACGATGCGCGACATTAATTGCGCGCGCGCGCCTATGCACGTAGGCAACCGTGGCTCGCGGCCCGCGCGTTCGCACGTGACAGAGGTACCGTTGCCTTTGATGTGTGGGTGCGCACGCGATTAAGGAGCGAGCCTCGGCGAGAAAAAGAATGAGAGAGAGAGAGAAGCGCGGAAATCGATCTCGGTCCGATGGACGATGGTCTTGTCGAGGAGGCGGCCTGAGGACGAGAATTCATCGCGCTAAGATGGAAGCGGAGCCAAAACTGCGCGAGCCGTTAAGCTGGAGCGGCAGAGCCCGTCGGCCATTTTGAATACGTCGAGATCGACGAGTCCAGGGCTCCTCATCTACACAACGGCATTGCTGCTGCTGCTACTGCTGCTGCTACCGCCGTCGTCGCTGCCACCGCCGCCGCCACTACCACCACCACCGCCACCATCACCTTCTTCCCCGTCGCCATCGTCGCTTACGTCGTCCTTGTCCGCCTCGTCGTAATAAGCGGCGAGCCCTCGTGCCTCCTCGCAATCCCTCCCTTCCACATGCCCCCGCCCCTTTTGCCGCCCGCCATGCACCCCCACCGCACGTCCTGCTCACGCCAGTCTCGCTGTGCGAGCGAGCGGCTTTGGAGGATTCAACAACGTGAAGATGAGGAGAAAAGTCGTCGCTGGGGACAATTGAGTCTCCCCTGTCTCCAAATTGGAGAAGAGCAAGGAGAGTGCCGTGACATACTGGAATAAGGGAATAAGTGTGAGGCAAGTGTCGTGGTTGTGTCGTACGTCGAGAAGTGAACTGCCGGGGCGTCATCGTTATAACACTGAACGTAAAGTGTTCTTGGCTCTCGTCATTACCGTTGCCGTCGTTGTCGTCGTCGTCGTGGTCGTCGTCAACGCCACTGTCGTCCGTGCGTCACTGCTCTCATCGGGTGAGCATTGGAAACGATCCGTTCGAGCGACTCCGCGAAGCCTCGACTTTCCTCCCGCGCGGTCCCGTCCTCGTTTCCTTACTCTCGCCACTGTGTCCCGCTCTGTCTCGCGCGCACTCTACCCCCTTGTTTTCGGGCCGCGCAAGGTGTAAACAGTCACCCCGACATCGCTGATCGATCGAGAATCAGCGCGACGAAGAGAAAAAGATAGATAGAGAGGAAACTGCCGACACACTTCACTCGCGCAACGCCGAGTGCAAACTACGATAGATAAATAGTTGGTAAGAGAGAGAGAGAGAGAGAGAGAGAGAGAGAGAGAGAGAGAGAACGAGAGAACTGAAGTGGGAGTGAAAGAGCTCCGCAGACGACGGCGGGAGAAGAGAGACAGTAGGAGAAAGTGGCAGTGGCCCGTCGGCGCGGCCGATAAAGTGAGGTTAGGTTGTAGGTGTGCTGCGTGTGGGGTACGTTACCCGATCAAAATACCTACAACCCGTTATCGGCGTTTGCTTGCACCGCGTCCAGGTGACTCGAAAGTATTGTGCGCGATGTGTCGCGACCTGGCCGACGTCTAGCCCACGAACGGGTGACTGTCCCGATGAACCAAATCGTCGAGCAGCAGCGGCAGCAACAGCAGTATCGGCGGCAATTTCTTTAACCCGCGAAAAATGCCGTTGGCCAACGGCGGCTTTTCTCCGACGATCCCCTGATTTTTGACCCTTGATCCCAGCGTAACCTTGTGGGCGCCCGTATTGGGTCGCAGCGTTACTCAGTGATATCCCTCGACGCGCCCAATCGAACGGACAAAGATAGACGCCCGTCGGCGATGACGAGGTAAGAGTCGCTGAGGCACGGTTGCAGACGCAGCTGCAGCGCCCGTTCCTGTCGTCGATCGCAATGAAAATGGCCCCAGGACCGGATCAGCAACAGCAGGAGCCCGCGGCGAGTGACAAGAGCACCGGCGGGGGCACCAACGTCGCCGCCACGACATCCCCGGCCTCCTCGACCTCCGCTTCCTACGATTCTCAGCCGATAACGGCTCCCCCGACCTCGCTCGCGTCCGGTGCGACAGCACTTGTCTTCCCTTTGCCCGAGGCTGGCCAAGGCAGCAGTGGCGGCGGCGGCGGCGGCGGCGCCGGCGGCAGTGGTCAGGAAGCCGCCCTGCCTATACTCAATAACGCAGCCCTCGTCGATAGCAAGCAGGTGACCATTAGCTCTGCTTATCACTTACATTGCTTAACAATTTTACCCAGGCAGGTCTTAGCCCAGTCACGATTCAAAGTCTCAGTATTTTATTGGGTATGTTTCGGACTTTGAGGTTAGGTTTTGCAGCTGTAAGAATTACGGCTAATGTTGATCTCGGATCTTTGTTATCACTCTTTAAGTGGATAATCGTGCGATCGTGCTTCCTTGCATTTGTACGACGAAGTGCCCATTTTCTTCCCTTCGAATTTATAAATTTATTCAAGTGATCCTACATAGTTTATTAGACATACATGCACACATGCGCGCGCGCATCCGCGCTCGTATATAAACGAAACCTGAGCAAACTTTTTCTTCAATAATTCAATGTGCCATTTGGATTTTCTTTTTCTTCTGGATACTAAAATGTATCTTACGAATCAAGCTGCAAAAGAAAATTTCATTATTGAGAAATATTTTTAAAGTAAAATATTCAAAGATTTCATGATATTTTATTCAGATAAAATCCAAGAAAAAGTATGTATTGCAAAATTCATGAGAAAATGTTTAAACGTAAACACGTCAATATCTTTTTATATTACACAATTACTGGCACTTTTTTTTTTTTTTTTTTTTTTTTTTTAAATGCATAAATTTTACTAATTCCGCATAGCATGACTTGGAATTTATTCACACATTAATGTCACAAAGATTTTAATAATAATTCCACAACCTTTTTATATCATTGCATAAACGACAAAAACATTTTCAAAGATTAACTACATTGTACATTTTTACACAATAGCATTTAGAGCGCTATTTTATGGCATTTCACCATTTTAAAAAGAATTATAATTGTTTAAAATTTTTGGATATTGTTATAACTTAATTGCAGTTGTTAAAGATATAATTTTATTAATATTCAGTTAATTTTACAATTTTTCTTAATAACCGTTTTATTTTTTTGAGAACGTATGTGCGTGCGTGCGTTTTACTGTGTGTTGCTTATGAACGCGCGCGTGTTGGTGCGGAGCGGGAATTAAGAGAGAGAGAGAGAGAGAGAGAGAGAGAGAGAGAGAGAGAGAGAGAGAGAAAGAAAGAAAGAGAGACAAACAGACAGACAGACTATCCAAGGCGATTGCGTCACTCGCGTGTATAATATTCTGTTACGGTTACTTTATAAAGCGCTCCAGCCGACTGGATAGAACGTGGCACGCTTTTAGGTCTATCAAATAGAAGAAAAATATATGTCGTTAACTATTTACATGATAAACTTATTTTTTATATTGACGGTTGTAAAGAAGATTGTTAGCATATACGAACATGTATCTGGTTAAATGCCTTAAAATTGAATTTATCTAATTAAACAATTATCTCTTTTCCATTTTTCCATTGTTTGGAAATATAATACAATGGGGGAGGCAATTTGTACAACGCGAATTTCATCAGATATGATTTATCCTCTCAGCTGGGTTTATTAAATTTTCTTTAAAATATATAAGACTTCGAAATCTTATATTGATTTTATATTATATATCATAAATAATTATATTTGTTTTATTTTATCGTATATGTATATAGAAAATACTTCTTATTTTGATGAAGAATCCAAAATTTTATTCACAAAATTTATTATTTCCGTTACACGGAAATCCTATAAAAATAAAAACTCCCTACTGATATAGTTCCAAGGAGCTTGGAATGTTGTTCATAACTAATATCCGTTCTTATACATTCTGTATTAAATAATCTTGATTATAATATAAAATTATACGCAATCGATAATTTAAATAAAATTTCAAAAAATTTTAAATGTTGTTCATAAAATTTAAGTTTTATATTATTACGAAGGTAACTTTGAATGTAAGAACTACAAATGCTTGAACCGTCCAACATTATAAGTACGTTTCTTTTGTTCGCCAACTGTACCGGAAGAATAGTAAACTAACTCGCGAGATTCATTTACACGCACAAGAATATGTGCCACAATCAGACAACATTTGCAATTCATGCACTGCTGTGAATATAATTCTAAGAATGATTTGCACCTTACACAAATATAATCTTTGTAAAGGTGAATCTTTATACTCATCACAAGGCTTACAAGATATATGGAAGCAACTGCTATTCCACATATTATGATTTCGTAAGGAAGTCATCCAAATTTTGAGGTTCGTGTTCCGGTTGGGGGTTTACGTATCGCAAGATCACATTAGGGTGTGTGTCTGCACACATAAGCGAACGAGTACTACAAAATGATGATGTTTAGAAGATTTGAAGGTAAAACGAATTTCAATATGGAACCTTTTAATGTGGAAAAAATTGAATTTTATATACTAATACTATCATTTTAGGCACACGTACGTTTGCATGCGCGGATAGTTTGACAGGAAATAATACTCTTGGTTATAACACATTTAATACAAAATTATATTTCAGTATTCCGTAATGTGTTAAATTCTATTCGTATATACGTACGATATTCTAGTTATTTTATTCAGACATGCACAGTACATTAAGATAAAATAATGAAGACCTAGCATAATTTTATTATTTAATTTTTATTTTCTGCTGATCGTTGTTTGTATAAATTTATAATACATATTATGACATTTCGTATATGCACGTATTAATATTATCAAGGCACTTGAAATAATGATACGTAATAATTATAATCTCAATTTTAAATAATTATCATTTATTTATACTCAAACACAAATTTGTTTCAAATTATTAATTTCATATGTTATGTATCTTATACTTAATATCAATTCTACCTTATTTAATATGCTTTCACGTTTATAAACCTTAAGAAAATCCAATATTTGATCATTAGTTAGGTCCTGAAAAAAAAAAATGCATCAGTAAACTAAGGATTATAGATTGCAATAGTGTAAAAGTAAAATTATTAATATTTATTATGGATAATTAATTTTATCAAGTGGGTTTTCACGTTGAACATTCTGTACATGGATAAGATCTTTCTTCGCTGGCTAAATCAATAATATATTGCAATATATTGTTGAGAAATAAGAAATCGCTTCTATCTCAATTTTCTGCATTAAAGACGCACAGTACGAAAGCAAAATCTTGAATATTAGTTATTAAATTAGTGGATTGGAAATAGATGATATTACAAACAAACAAAAATTACAATATATATATTTTAATGTATTAATTACGATAGAAGATTAAATATATACATATATATATATATATATATTTTTTTTTTTTTTTTTTAATACAATTGAAAGAATAAACGAATATTTCAGTCGTTAGATTTCTTGATTGAGACTGTGAATGGGTCTTGACATTCCAGCTACAAGTTCTTGACATTTAAATTATACTGTTAAACTTTCGAATAATTACAAAACTTACGTTTCAAGTATAAATTCGATTATTTCAATTATAATATATAGCTTGATAAAAGTTATATAAAAATAGTAATGAAAAACAGGCATTTTGTATATTCCTCAAGGAAATTATTTTTAAATATTGGAAGATATATCAATTTTACCTAACACGAAATTCATTCGTTAACATATATTAAGACTAAAGTATTTAATTTAAAAGTAATTTTAAAAACAAATTTAAACGAAAATTAAAATGATTAACAAATGTTGTGATATAATTGATAGACATTTAAAACAATGTATATGGCCTTAGTTAAAAATAACTATTTAAAAAATTTTAAACGATTAGAATAATTTAAATATAAAATTAACTTGCAATAATTCTGCTATATACACAGCAACGAATGAAACCAGAAAATAGGATAACATGAAAAAGTTGGTTTGAACAATCGCATATCTCAAAAATTTAATCTTTTTGCGTCGCGTATTTTTGTTCGCATATCATTTTTGTCATTGACATTTAAATATGTTGTAAAATTTTCTGCAACTTGTATGATCAGGCATTTTTTTTAAGATAATCGTGCATAAATAACTACGTTAATAATTCAGTAGGGAGTTACATCTCCAATGTACGTAACTAACGAGTTACAAAACTGAGATATACATGTGCCATTTTCCTACATATTTAACCTAACCTTACCTTCCGTCAGTACTCTTTTTTCTGTTTTTTTTTCTGTGCCATCCCTCTATTATTTGATTTTATGTTATTTTTAATTTTTGTTTTTGCATATTAACGTTGGCAATAATTTCTTGAATCATTACAATTTTATAATTTGATATTTGGAATTTAAATGAAATTAATTTTTTTTCGTTCTTTGCCGTAAATTGAAAATACTTCAAATAACATATATAGTTTTACTCTTGTAATTATAATTATGTAAGAAATAATTATATTATTTTATGAATTTTATGAATTAAAATTATTAAAATAATTGAGTATCGCAATTTCAAAAAATTTACTACAATGTAATTTGAGTAAATGCAAATTTCTACATTATAACAAATACATATAATACGTCTTGCATACATGCATACATACCTATTCCAGTCCTATGGACGCCTACATACTCATACAGCTACACAACAAACATATAATTATATATCTGAAAATGAAAATACTGTAAAGTTTATTATTCGGTAAAATTTGAATTGCTTTGATTTTTTAATAATTCACATTTCATATGAGAATCCGGGTTATTATATGTCATAATGAAATGACAATTAGAATTTTAATAATTAAACGTTAAATCGCAGAATCTTCTACATTACAGAACTCATTTGATTATACATTAAATGAAATATATTAAAAATTTAATTAAATTTTTTAAATTTGTATTGTAAATTTGCAATAAAATTTACCACGTAGTTACGAATATAATATCATTCAAAGTGTAGTTAACAAAGTAAGTAATGTTAATATCATAGTATGAAGTAAAATTAATTACTTTATGTACTTTATGTTTATAAATTTGAAAAATTAATTTTTATTTATTATTCAGTTTTATAGAGGACATTAATGCAATTTAAATTAATGGAATTCTCCCAAATTGGTACGAAGTTGCCATAAGATACACGCACATGCACAAATCGCTTACGATTACTTGAACT